GTGGTAACTGTGGCTAGACTGGGGAGACTGTTGTCAGGTGATGGTGGTAACTGTGGCTAGACTGGGGAGACTGTTGTCAGGTGATGGTGGTAACTGTGGCTAAAACTGGGGAATGTTTTTCAGGTGATGGTGGTAACTGTGGCTAGACTGGGGAGACTGTTGTCAGGTGATGGTGGTAACTGTGGCTAGAGTGGGGAGACTGTTGTCAGGTGATGGTGGTAACTGTGGCTAGACTGGGGAGACTGTTGTCAGGTGATGGTGGTAACTGTGGCTAGTGGGGGATATTTTTGTCAGGTGATGGGGGTAACTTTTGGCTAGAGTGGGGAGATGTTTTCAGGTGATGGTGGTTAACTGTGGCTTTGATGGGGAGATGTTGTCAGGTGATGGTGGTAATGTGGCTAGACTGGGGAGACTGTTGTCAGGTGATGGTGGTAACTGAGGCTAGACTGGTGAGACTGTTGTTAGGTGATGGTGGTAACTGAGGCTAGACTTGTGAGACTGTTGTCAGGTGATGGTGGTAACTGAGGCTAGACTGGTGAGACTTGTCAGGCGATGGTGGTAACTGAGGCTTGGCCGGAGAAGGAAAATTGTTATCTCTACTAATAAGTCTTTGAAGAGACCAGAGAAAGCCAGGAAAAATGAAAGAGAAAGGCTATTAAGTTTTATTCGGTAACATTTACTGCGGCAGCGCAGGCAGTGTGGCTCGGGGTTACAAAGACACTGATAATCTTCCTTGTTCACATTACCTAAGTTGTTTAGCTTCTTGATGTATATGAACGTCTTGCATGACCTCTTATTGTTCTTCATTTCCTCTGTTTCTTAAGGTAATAGGTAATGTTCTTACCTCGACGTTAAACCACTGCCCTATTAATATTAGTTTCATGGGAAAACGTTAAACTCCAAATGGGGTCATTCAGCGCATGGGGAATGGGAAGTATAATTAAATTTTATCCAAGGTAAGTAAATAAGTTTATTTAGGCACAGGTACACAAGTACAAGTATCATACATAGTGTAAATTGTCTAGGATAACACAAGAAAAGTCAGTGTGACTTATTTTCATTGGGTACTTGGTAATTAGGGATAGCAACAGTTCCTTGAATCAAGAGCCTCACTTCAGCACCCAGGAACCTCTCTGAAAGGTGGGCCAAAGCCAGTGTTTGCTGGTTAGGTTAGGTCAGGTAAGGTTTGTCAGGAAACAGGACAAGTGTTTACTGACGCGGGTCTTAGTAATATGACCCGCAGCTGGAGCTTTTGGTCATCTGACTGAGGCCTTCCACTGGCTTACCCCTCCACCCCCATTAAAAATTAGGACTATCATTATCGATATATTCAGTGTCTGCTGTTCTAGCACGTCTCTTATATAAGTTGCGGCGCTCAAGAATGTAAAAAAACAATCCGGTGCAACATCTGGGTATCTTTATTCTGGGAAGATTTCGCCAACCAGTGGCTTCTTCAGTCCAGTTCAGAGAAAGGTAGAAGATGATTAGGAATTTGAGGAAATCAGTCCCTCAGCCTGGAGTCGATGTGTTCGCTTCATCAGTCTTGATAAAGACGCAGCATATTCGCACATGTAAAGCTTATATAAGCTCCGTCTCCGCGAATGTGCTGCATCTTTATCAACAGTGAAGGACTGAACACATCGACTCCAAGCTGAGGGACTGATTACCTCAAACTCCTCCTCATCTTTCATCTTTCTCTGCACTGAAGAATCCATTGATTGGAGAACCGTTTCCAGATTAAGGATACCCAGATGTTTTAAACCATTTATTCATAACATAATCCGTATATCCGACTCGGCGCTCAAGATCATTGTTCAGCATTACTGAATCTGGGACTTGTGCGTTGTCCTTGGTAGTGTGTAGACGTCTCCGTCCGTCCCAGCCCTTAGCCATGATCCACCAGGAAGCCTGGTCAAGGACCGGGCCGCGGGGGCGTTGACCCCCGGAACACTCTCCAGGTAGCATCAATGACTGTTTTCTCTCCTATTCTTCCTGGGATGCTTGTGTTATATTCTTCTTGCTGGACACATCATTCTCTACCTGGGACTCTGTTTTTATCATATTCTTAACGTCAGTTACTCCCGAATAAAAAAAACTGCACCCATTTCCTTATAATTACTCAAATCAGCCACATATTGACTAAACCCATTCTACTTCCTCTGCTCTATACGTCTCTGAGCTTTCCCGTGTTTGTAGTGAAGATTAGACAAAACACTGAAAGTTAGACAAAATATTGAAAGTTAGACAAAATACTGATAGTTAGACAAAATACTGAAAGTTAGACAAAACACTGAAAGTTAGACAAAATACTGAAAGTTAGACAAAACACTGAAAGTTAGACAAAATACTGAAAGTTAGACAAAACACTGAAAGTTAGACAAAATACTGAAAGTTAGACAAAACACTGAAAGTTAGACAAAATACTGAAAGTTAGACAAAACACTGAAAGTTAGACAAAATACTGAAAGTTAGACAAAACACTGAAAGTTAGACAAAATACTGAAAGTTAGACAAAACACTGAAAGTTAGACAAAATACTGAAAGTTAGACAAAATACTGAAAGTTAGACAAAATACTGAAAGTTAGACAAAACACTGAAAGTTAGACAAAATACTGAAAGTTAGACAAAACACTGAAAGTTAGACAAAATACTGAAAGTTAGACAAAACACTGAAAGTTAGACAAAATACTGAAAGTTAGACAAAATACTGAAATTAGACAAAATACTGAAAGTTAGACAAAATACTGAAAGTTAGACAAAATACTGAAAGTTAGACAAAACACTGAAAGTTAGACAAAATACTGAAAGTTAGACAAAACACTGAAAATTAGACAAAACACTGAAAGTTAGACAAAACACTGAAAGTTAGACAAAATACTGAAAGTTAGACAAAACACTGAAAGTTAGACAAAATACTGAAAGTTAGACAAAACACTGAAGTTAGACAAAACACTGAAAGTTAGACAAATACTGAAAGTTAGACAAAACACTGAAAGTTAGACAAAATACTGAAAGTTAGACAAAACACTGAAAGTTAGACTAAATACTGAAAGTTAGACAAAATACTGAAAGTTAGACAAAATACTGAAAGTTAGACAAAACACTGAAAGTTAGACAAAACACTGAAAGTTAGACAAAATACTGAAAGTTAGACAAAATACTGAAAGTTAGACAAAATACTGAAAGTTAGACAAAACACTGAAAGTTAGACAAAACACTGAAAGTTAGACAAAATACTGAAGATTAGACAAAACACTGAAAGTTAGACAAAATACTGAAGATTAGACAAAACTTTCAGACTTATGCAAATCACTTCTCTTTGTGGAGATGTGAAGTTAATCCCATGTGTCAGAAATCTTTCCTACGAAGGTGGAAAGGCGTAGAATTTGGAGTAACATGGGTAAAGTGTACAAATTAAAAAAAAAACAGGATAAATTAAAGAGATATAAATAAAGTTCAGAAAGTATCTAACCGTGAAAAGACTCGTAACATTTAATTCAGGTTGTGTAAATTTAGATTTAGAAAGATGTAGGGACTTAGTGGTTTGGCAGTAGAGTTGGAGATAGGAGAAACAACCTTCTAAGTATACCACTGGCTCCTGGCTGAGATATACTCGCCTCCTGATATTGTTCTTTATCTATGGGTTTTGAGACTCTCTTACCGCGGGTTCAAACCCCATCCGTGGTATGGTTAGGTTGGCTAGTTCGTTTACAATAGCTCTCTTCTCATGCTGACATCAAGGAAATTAGCTCGTGGATCGGGCTGCAATATTTGCAGCCCGATCACTTCACTCAACATCAGTTGGGCCAGATGACAGTCATGTTCTCCTCCTACAACTGAAAACCGCCGTTACCAAGTACTTTGGGCCATGACACCTCTCAGTCTCCCATGTGCGGGTTATTTGTGTGTTGTTCCAAATAACCTGGAGCCAGAAAAAAAGCATGTGTGTGTGTGTGTCCGTCCTCAGCTTACGGCTAGATAAGATAAGATAAGAGTTCGTTCGGATTTTTAACCCCGGAGGGTTAGCCACCCAGGATAACCCAAGAAAGTCAGTGTGTCATCGAGGACTGTCTAACTTATTTCCATTGTGGTCCTCAATCTTGTCCCCCAGGATGCGACACACATCAGTCGACTAACACCCAGGTACCTATTTGCTGCTAGGTGAACAGGACAACAGGTGTAAGGAAACGTGTCGAAATGGTTCCACCAGCCGGGAATCGAACCCGGGCCCTCCGTGTGTGAAGCGGGAGCTTTAGCCACCAGACCACTAGACTGCTAAATTTGTTACTAATTTCGCTCCTAAAGCAATTTCTGAACTATTACAATAAGTCTAACATTATTTAATAATGATTCAAGACTCCCCGAATTATTACTAAGGCCTAAATCCTTCGAAATGCTATGTTGGATTTAAGGATTCGTTAAGAAGGTAGAGTCCGAATTAAAGTGTCGTTAAGGAGGTTAAGGGGGACTATACTATTCCAGGCATGCCACGTAAACTACTAAACACTTAGTAATTTCTAGCCGTCAGTGGGGGTTAGGGTATCTTCAAATTTCCACAGAGGTCCTCATAGCTACTAGGGCTCTAGTGATCACCACCTTGCTACAGTAAATACATCTTACTGTCTTCCACCATCACTTGTGAATTTCTCCTAGTATCCTTGCTTTATCCCTGGGACGTTTGTCATAGTTATATACTGCCTGTTGTTTCTCATTATCATATACTGGGAAAAACTAAGCTATTATTACTGACTGGGTTTAGTCTACTAAGGTCCACCTGAGTTAACTGAGACGCATTGTTCCTATTTTCCCTTTCTGCGGGGAAATTTGCTTCCCATATAATCCCCTCTTAGATTTAGGCAACATATTATTTTTTCCGGGAGGGTATAACTTTCCTTTGTGTCTACTAATTGTTTTATTACACATAAAATACATTATTTTTGTATCGAATAGATAAATAAAAAATGTATGTGTATAAGGCGCAAACTTTGGTGGCCCATAATGAAGGTAGAACAACAAGAGCCTCGTGGACACCTCTCCTCGATAGTTTCTCAACAGAAATCTTTAAAATCATCTTCTCTGCCTCATCATGGACTCCCAAGACTCTTCATCACTTACTAAACTTATTCTCAACAACTTTGTAAGTTTAGATAATTAGTTTATGACTCCATTCAGGAAGAACTAACAACGGAAATAAGTTAAATTATTATTATAATCAAAAAGAAGCGCTAAGCCACAAGGGCTATACAGCAAAATAAGTTAAAAATCCAAACAAAATCGTCTCTTAATACTGCTTAAGTACAGCTTTATCTGCTAGTGTAATAAAGTCTTATTATTTGACAGATAGTACAGGGAAAACCTCGAGCACAACAAGGGGAAGGTTTGTGGATCAAGAAGTTACTACGGACGGTCAAGAAGTTACGTGAAAAGAAGGCTGATAATGACCTCATAAAAGCAAAATTTAATCGTAGGGCTGAGAACTTGTGGAGGAAGTCATGATCCTTAAGGTATGTTCCTGATCAGCCGGGCTGTGGCTCGTACGTTGGTTTGCGTGCAGCCAGCAGCAACAGCTGGTTGATCAGGCTCTGATCCACCAGGAGGCCTGGTCACAGACCGGGCCGCGGGGGCGTTGACCCCGGAACTCTCCAGGTATGTTAATTGTAATATATGTTTTAGAGCTGGGGATAGTTTATTCATGGAATGTAGAATAAGTAGGAAGAAAAATTTATTTTTATTGTTCATGTACCGTACATTATCTCTTTCTGGTTTTTAACACTTTATTATCACTTGATTGGTAACAATAGCAGTACCTATATATAATTCTCAGTATATATATACTGTGTTATAAAATAGGCCATATGAAAAAAAAAAAATTTTCCTACTCACTACTGTAGGTAAAGCTATAAAGTTAATAGTTGGTCAGTATCTTGACAGGTTTTTCTTGAAGGATTGGAGATATAGAATGGTCGTTTATTCTTCAAAAATGTCCTTAAGTAGAAAATGAGATAGCAAATTGGTCTAGTCTAGGATTTACTACAGATCCGCTGTATCTGTGGAAATGCTGCTTACCATGTATTACAGTGTCACTCATGAAGAGAAGGTACACAACTTGCAAATTGCAGATTATTATTATTATTATTATTATAATCAAGGGGAAGCGCTAAACCCGTAGGATTATACAGCGTCCGGGGGGGATGTGGAAGGCATTCAGGCTTAATTCAGGGAACTGGAGCACAGATCCAATTCCCTAAATCAAGAGCCCCTCACCAACATCAAGGAACCTTCCATGAGGGGTGCAAATTACAGAGCCAGCCATAGTAATACAATAGAAGGAAATAGCAGTAGATACTGTGCATTATTTCAATTCAGAGATCAGAAGCAAGAACAGGGGTAAATATTCATGTGAATAGATTTCTTTTGAATTGCATGAAAAATGTACTTGGAGGAAGAGCTTCCCCAGATGTGTAAGTAGTAATCAAGCCTAGTCCAAATGATCTGAGGAAGTAATGGAAATGTAAGCAGGTACTACAATTAATAAGCCATAATGGTGATCTCAGAGGAATACAGCTTCATGGTGTGCAAGAAACCTTTGGTAAGGGACAACTTCAAACACTCGAAAAAAAAAAATAGTAGTTTTAGCGGCAACATGGTTGGTCAGGCATTCATCCAGGAAGTATAATCTCAGGCAGTCATCCAGGAAGTATAATCTTGGGCAGTCATCCAGGAAGTATAATCTCGGGCAGTCATCCAGGAAGTTTAATCTCAGGCAGTCATCCAGGAAGTGGTCTCTGGCAGTCATCCAGAAAGTATTGTCTCAAGCAGTCAACCAGGAAGTATGGTCTCAGACAGGGCTATGAGAGTGGAACTTAAAACCAGTCATAGGAATTGGGTATGGAAGTACTGGCCATGTTTCTAAAAGATAAGGAAAGCTTAAGAAGAGAGACAATGATAAAACTGGTATTTTATTATGTATATATAAACTAAGTAGTGTACCAGCATACAAATATCTTATTATTTTTTTAACTATTCCATGTACATAGCCTTATCTGCTAACATGTTTCTTTTTAATTGCTGTTAAATTTTTAAAAGCATATCTTATTTCAGCGCATTGCTCCGATTGATATAATGAAGTTCATCATCCTGAATAAGAAATCATTCACAGCAGTTGCAAGTAATGTAAGTGACCTGTGCTTTATATTTGATTCTGGCATGTTTCACTATTCAAATTTAGAAAAATTATCAACATCTTAAGTATGTAATTAACAAACTGTGGCATGGCTGGGGATTGAACCCGTGTTACCTTGGCCCACCTAATGGGAAGCAGGTTAAAATTCACAATGCTCTAACCACTGGACCATACAGTGGTTAAAGTGTTGTGAATTTTGACCTTCTTCCCACAAGGTGGGCCAAGGTAGCATGGGTTCGATCTCTGTCCATAACACAATTTGTTAATTGTATAAGTACACTTGTTTGTGTGGTTGCATTAATCTTAAAGTATGTATTTTTTATTAAATAATTCTGAAGGGTATTTGGATCTTTTGTTTTAACCAAACTTTGCTACACTGAATATTGTGTTGTTTTGGCTTAATAACTCTTTCACTGTCTCCCATGAAGATTTACGGTATTGACACCACTGTCACTCATGTAGATCTACATTTATGCACAGTGCCCTGAAATATTCTGTGAGCAGTAATTTTGTCTTAGATGAGAGAGAATGGGTCTGCACTTAGTATAAAAGAACTCTTGCCTCGAGCAGTGCGTGATGGAAAAGCAAACCTCTGACTATGTGTTCAGTTTACATAGCAACTTTGAGGTATTTTCTAGGGTAGGTTTTATGGTTTTATTGGCCTTTTTGTATTAATTGATGGAATGGAAGACATATTGAAATAAAGATGACTTTGATCGGCTTCAGGAATGAGAATGGCTTGAAATAGAGCTTAAATTAAATTGTTTGATTTTTGGCAACTTCATGATGCAAAGTGGGGCCACTACACTCTGTCTGGTTTATGAGTTTTAAATAGGCCTATTTCTACTATTGAGCCTGCTTAAACCATGACCAATCATTCTTGGTTATATTTTATATTGTCCAAGATATAGGATAAAACTTTGAATTTTCTGTGTGATGAGTTCAAATTGGAAGGCACTGTTATATAGGAAAGGTCTGGGGAAGGGATTAATGAACAAAGGATAAGCTGCTTTAGCGGCTGGAATCAACACTGTTTATTTTGGACTCTTGTTTTTAAAACTGAAATTCACTTAATTTTGTGCAAAATTGGTCATATTACAAACTTAGGCAGTTTCTTGACTCAGTTGATAGACCGGAAGGCTTACTAGTGATATAAGTAGTAAGAATTGTAATTGACTTAAAATAGGACTCACAGTGGGTGGAGTCACTGATACATAAATTGCTCCCAGACCGTCAGCTTTGTGCCAGTGTATTTCATTAAGTTTTCCATCAAATTTCACGTTTTTTGGCATCATTTCCTCCTGAAAAAGACTACCATTTCAGAAGATTTTTTGTATTGCAACACTGTCAGCACTTTTAATTTCAGGGGATGCAACAATGAAAGGGTTAAATATTTTGTTGGAAAGTCACACTATTAGAACTGATAAAGTTATGATTGAGTTGAGGGAAGTTATCCTTTGAGGTATTTCAGTCTCTCCATACCTCCTCTTTGCAAGTGTAGAAAAATGGTGACCAACCCTAGTGTGTGGATTCTTCTTCTTTCAACAAACTGGCCCTATCCATCAAAGCAGGTGGCCCAAAAAGAAGAACAAAAGTAACGTGTGGATTGTTGTGACTATGTAGCTTCGTTCCTTCAGATGTTGTTTGGTGCTACAAGTTTATTAAAATATTTCTAAAGATTAATGACATGGACTCCCTTCCCTCATTTATGCAGAGCTTCAAAAGGCAAGAAGTATGCCAGACATAGAAATGTTTCAGCATGAATATGGTGATATTAAATAAATTTAAATATTTTTTTCCTCAGCCAAAGGCAAAAATAGAGGAGAGAGCATTGTGTCGTCTTGCTACACACAAAGGCATTAGTGCTATCATTAATAAATTTCGAGGCAGTATCCGAAGTGGGCAGAAGAGGTTCCAGTCTTACTCAAGGTTAGTATTATTAAAGAAATGTAAAATTGGACATTTTCATGTATTTTAATATAATACTGCAACATCAGTGATAGAACACATTATTCTTTTTGATCAACTATAATTGATTTATAGTCTAAACAAAAGATGTTTGGCAATATGGTAACAATCTTTTTATGACATGTATAAAACACAGGCTGTATGGAAGACTTTATTAGTAGATGTTTTGATTGGAGACCAAGGTTTATAGTATCTTAAAAACAGTACGTACTTAGATGACATGAAATATATAGAGCAGCGGTGCAGGTGAACATTGGGGTAAAGTACCCTTTATGTCAAGTTATGCAGCTGGCTGAGCAGAAGAGGGGGGAGAGGCTAAACAAGATGATGACTCCCCACACTGTATTAGGGTGTTTGTAATGCTAAATTGGGCTGCCTCTAGGCACTGCCGTTTGTCCTTTGTTTTCTCCTGAAAGAACAAGTTAGGCCTCAGTCAAACATGTCTTCTAAATTTTTGGAGCAAGGACCAAGCTGGAGGCAGTGGAAATGTTGTGTCTGAGGTCATTGTGTTGTTTTGAATACTATTCAAAGAATTCTTAGTTCGGAGATTAAAAGGAAGTGCAGATTACTAAAAGTATTACCTAGAGGGCTAAAGGGTTGTTAAGATGGCTCAGACATTTAGAGAAGATGGAGCAAAATAGTATGACTTGAAGGGTATATAAATCTAGAGTGGAGGGAAGAAGGGGTAAGGTTCATCCTAGGAAAAGTTGGAGGGTGGGGGTTGAAGAAGGTTTTGTATGCAAGGGCTTGGACATCTAACAGGCATATATGAAACTCATTTAATAGGAGTGAATGGAGGCAATTGGTTTTTATGATGATGTGCTGTTGGAGTGTAAGCAAGGTAATATTTATAAAGGGATTCAGGGAAACTGCTTAGCTGGACTTAGAGTCCTGAATGCAGGAAGTCCGGTGCCTGCACTTTGAAGGAGAAGTGTTATTATTATAGGTTGGAGGGGCATCTGAGCTGAAGTGTCGGCATGCCTCTG